TACATAGAAGTATTCGTATGAATGAAGAGACCGTCAATCGTTCTAAATTCTTTTTTCACAAACATTACTGACATGAAACACTAATAAAGATTTGAACAAACTATATAGTTACTGTTAGTAAAATTAAAAAATGTGTTAAGCAATATGCCTTTTAGATAGGTATGCTATTAATTTACAAGAACCATTATACTTTGATACAGTTAATTAGTCTCAGTAGAGAAACAAAATGTTGAAAAAGCATAATTTATCTTTTAAAGAGAGAAATATTTTAAATATACCAATACACATATTTTTTCCACCAATAATAATTATATATCTCGAATTTCTATATCAATCGAATGTTGACCCCCTCGATACAATGTTAGCAATCTTATCCTTTTACATTATGCATTTTTAAGAATATCTTTTATTGGAATTTTAAAGAACTAGAAAGTAGCATAATTTCTCGTCATGTTAATTTAATCTTATCGTTCAACCTGTTAAAAGCGCCATTATGTCGAACAAAAGTGGCGATGTCAAGACCGCACCTTTATCTGAGGACCCGGGCTAGCTTCCTCGCGCGTTGAGAGAAAGGTGCTCGACCTCCTTTTTAACGTTCTGATCCGGTATGGCGAACATGAGTGGCGAACATGAACGATTGATAATTGCACACATTACCAGCGGCATTGGCTGCACGATGTTGCGAGCGAAGCGCAGCGAGAACAGAGAATGTCGCCCCTCAATGCTTTACGCGTACTTCCACCAACCGAGAGAAAGTCATTTCTTTCGACGGCCACAAACAGATAACTTCAGTCACACCCGCGGCTGGGTGTGCGTGAGAAGCCATCGGCTAGGATTGAAAACGGAATTACGATGGTACAACTATCATCACAGGACGACGTACTTTCAAATGTAATTTAAAGAAAATTCTTGCATTTCTGGAAACATGCCGACTGCTTATTTTAGGATTGACTAAGTATCAAGCGTAGTAATAACATTCTATTTAGGAATTAAGGAGAAAAAAATATCAAATAACTAAAAAATATTCATGTGGTTTCTTTTCAATATCAAGAATCAAATATTCTAATAAAACTTAAAAAATTTATAATGTTTAGAGATTTTATAATTAGTCAACTATATAGCTCCAATATGACTCTTCTTGACATATTATATTGAAGTTGATAAGAGCACCATATATTGGATAGATGACAGAGAGTGGAGATAGAGCGAGAAGAGGGAGGAGTGGGAAATGAGGTAGGATAAGAAGGAGCGGGGAAGGGGGCAACTAGAAAGGAAAGGGGAAAGGGTAGAGAGCGACGAAGGGAGGAAGGGAAAAAGATTCTAAAGGGCCGTAATGGTCAGGTCGGGACGTGAAGGTATGTGTAAAGGGTTGGGTACGTCCCTAAAAAACGCTACATATGTTAATATGCAGAATAAGATGTATGTTTGTAAGAGGTTTGGGACCGTTCTCTTCGTGAAAAACGCCTTTCAAATCCTGAGGGGACACGAAATAAAGTCTATCTATCTAAGAGCACCATATATTGCTCGCATAATTGGAACGGTGTACGTTCTTCCTCTTGGAAGTGAATTTTTCATTGCCCGTACTTTCGCCAAACGACGAGCCGATAATTCTTCGTAGGAATTTCATTGCTATGTACATGCACGTGGTATGTGCGAGCGAACGGTCTCATACCCTCGGGATCGATTTCTTTTCTTTTCGACGAGAAGCCCTTCCGCGGATCGCGCCATTATTTTACACTCGATGGATTCGTTTCTAAAACGACCGGTCGGAATGCGCTCGGAAAAAATCGCGAAGAAAGCAGAAAAATCGCACGGCGTGTCCGACACGCGATATTCCGTAATGAAAATTACATAGATACGCTTGCGGTACGTAATCAAAATCATGTCAGTAGCACGAAGACCTGACCGATTCGCGTTTGAAAATTACCGTATGGTTCAGGAACTAGCGGATTCTTGCATTCACCCGGTCGATGATATCATCATACTGATGATATCATTGTATAAACGTTAATTGCACCGATAACATCAAGAAACGTGATTGTGATCTTCAACATGTTCTAGCCACTCGAAACATTTTTCCGAGATTAACGATGGCTGCACGTTATGCTACAAAAAAAATTCGACACATTAAAGTACAGTCACCATACAGTCATCGACGTAGAATTTCCTCATTTTTTGTTACCGCATACGCTTATTTGCCGCATAGTTACTCATGCAATCCATAAATCATCATTTTCGTAAAAACTTCGACTGGCAACTTACGATCTCGTAAGATTGGGTAGTCACAGTCGAGTCATTTATTAGAAATCGCCGTACGCTATTTGATGCGATTCACAGTTCGTTAGCTCCGGTCGCACTCTAGAAGTTTTCCCGACTCGCAGGTAACATGCAATGATGATATCAACTGTGGATATTAATAATCCTAACGATGATAACGTTCGTCGCATAATAATCACGATAATTAATCATAATAAGATTAATGGAATAATTTTAATGCCATTTTTGTGGTCGTCACCTAAACAATTATTAATAACATAATCTAATAGTATTGATAATTATAATCGCTTTCGGGCTCTGTGCATGTATTAAATAGGCGAAAGGACATCTGATCGAGATCAAATGTTAACGTAACTGTAACAAATTCAATTTTAAGCAAATAATGAGATTTGATTCGCTTTAAATGCTTATTAGATTTATTAGTTACGGTTTATTCAAATGGTTTAGTTAAAAAATTAATATTATTTATTAATAGTTTAACTAATTTGTAGATATTAAAACCAAATACTGCCCATGACATTGCAAAAAGTTAAATAATAAAAAAAGAATTATCTTTTTTTTTTAAGTTTATGCTTGTGAATGGTTATGATTCCATCGATATACTTGCGGATGTAAAATAGATCAATACGTTGCATGTTTCTACATTTTCCGTGTCCGCAACTAGAAGGCCGACTACATTCACTATTCACTTGGAGTTACCCGACACTTCAAATATTTCCTGCGAAATATGTATATCGCGTTATTATGAAGCAATATAAAACCGTACGATTATAAGGTTTCTGAAGCAAATTAAACTCTTTCGTTTCAATGCTCTTATAATTATTAATAAAATTTAAGTTATTATCTAACAAGTTGTTAAAAATCACTAGCAACTTTTCTCGGTATATCGGATTTCGCGCATGTATATAAATAGACATAAGCAACAGCCTTAGTGAAAGTTGTCTTTACACGCGTAATTATGCCTAATGATTCATGCTCGATGCGTTATTATTGGAACCACTTTAGTTTGATGTTACATATGTATTTGATATTATGTATTTAAAAATCAAGATAAAACCGGATATCGTGCCTGTCAGATATTACGTACGTTCGTTGACGATTTATTTCTTCATCCAATCACTCATTTGATGTAAATATCGGAAAATAGAGTATTAATACGTCAGCATGCGGTAAATAACGTGAAGGCAAAAATGTATCGAAAGCAGATATCGGAACAACATTCGCTGCGTTATTCCGACGCAATAATACGCGTCATTCGCATCTCTGTTCGAGATGATCGATCGATCACTCGCGATGTGTACGAAACAAGGCAATTGCAAACATAAAAAATATTAGAAATGTTGCGCATCAGTATAAAACTTTCCCATTTTAGAAAAAACAAATTTAAACTTTTTTACGTATAAATATATAGAAGAATACAAATTTAAACTTTCTTACGTATAAATATATAAAGATAAAATTTAATTCCATATTCTTCGAAAAGGACATATAAATTTTATCGCGTAATTATATCTACGTACCGACTGCATATAACGTGGGAAACATTTATATGATATTTAAAATCAATTTATACAATTAATTAAACAGGAGATATGTGCAACTTTAATGACAATCTATTCTTATCAATCAAAATTTATATAACTAATTAAACGAGAAGCGATTCTCTATTCTTTAATTAAGCGAGAGGTTAAAAATAAGAATAGGAATTCTCTGTGTTAACATTAAAACAAAAATTATTCAATAGTGGATGATGACATTACTATTTATTATTTTAATTTAATTAAAATAGTAATTAACTTAATTACTATTTTACTAAATGTAACAATAAATTTCGATAATTTTATTTTCACGTCAAACATCTCTCCTTTTTGCCCGTAAAATACTAACTTTCCCTCAATGAGGAAATAATTCATTCGAAGATTTTAATCGTCACGGAAAGCGATTTATAAAACGTTTGGCGAGAAATAATATCGGAAGTTATTAATAGCATTGTGTATGTGCGTGCGTTTGTTCGTCGCAGCATTGTCGTATTATGAAACCGCAAGTTCCATTAAAACCATAAAGTCGTGACCGATTCATTGGTCCATGATCTCGATTACTTATTCGCATCATGATAGCTGCGGTGAAATTGCGGTTGGTTTCTTGTTAACTTCCGCACGAAGAGCGTTACCACGTTTTGTCTGTTACCCTCTGATGCACTTTGCATCCTGTTCCCTAATACACGAAAACAATTCTATCTCCGCATTATAATAAAATATATCTTTTATTGATAAATTTGTTCGATTATTACCAAAATTATTAACAAATACATTTATTTTCTTAATAATTTTGTTTATTATTCTATATGTAAAAAATAATTTTAATTATTTAATTAATTCTATACCTTTGATTATTGAACTTGGTTTCAAACAATCGGCGATTCGTGGCAGAATTTTAAATGGAATCCCATTTAGAATTTTATGCATCGTTTATATACGCAATTTACCCCGTATTACGAAACTGAAGTTCACGTCATTTACAACACGCAACGCGAGCGCACGAGAGTGTTTCGTTAAAAAATATATATATTACACCAAAACGAACCATTCGACATCGATGTTGACCCAGATCCACCGTGCAAAATCAATCGAAGCGATTTTACATTGTCAACGTAGCGTACGTGCCGTCGCCGAAGTTAATTACTTAGCGTCCCACGACCAATTAATCAATTTCGTCGGTTTTAGATTGTGCGGAGGTGCTTGACGCCGACCGCGGTATTCATCGTCCTAACGTTGTTAGACGGATTCGGCGGATGCACGGCTGAGCGATGGTCACGACAGACCTCTAACAGCGAGTGGATTCCTCTGGCTAATCCGGGATCCGCTCAACTGTCGCTGAGTAAAGCGGAAAGCGGGCTTCTGTCTAGTAGCACGCATTTACCGAATCCAATCCAAACGCTCGCGTTACCGCCCGCCCTTCAGCATCAGTACCAGGAACAATTGCTTCAGCTGCAGAAGACGCAGGAGAGTATTCAAAAGCTCCTCCTGCTGCAGCAGCAGCTGAAAGCTCAGCAGCAACTTCTTCAGGTAAAATGATTTCCGCTGCATCAATGCGGAGAATGCAAGATACTTTTAAATCTATTTCTTTTTAATAAAAAATATTTACTAGTGAATTCAAGAATTTATGTTTCTTACAACTTACTTTATCAAATAATATGTGCTTTTAAAATCTGAAGCTACGTTTATATTTGAAAAATAAAATAAAGTCAAAAACTTTTTGTATGAAAAACATAATTTTCCACAATTAAACGTACTTGCTTCTACAGGTGCTTTATTAAATTTAATGAGAATTCGAAATTGTATAATTAAGTTTCAGTTTCTTTTCATTTATTTCTCTTTGCCTTCATTTACTTAGACTCAGACGTTCCTGCCCGGCGATTATAGTAGCGCCGAAGCTGAGAAACAAGCGTTACCTCAGAGTTCCTTAGGCAATTTGCAAACGGCACCCGAATTAGTGCCGAATACTTTGGTACCCCCGCATCCGTCCTCGGGAGCACTTCCGCCGGTACACCCTTCACAGAATTTCCTATCCCAGAGACCGGGTCAGACCTATCAGAATCAGGAACTATCGAACTTGCCTGTGCAGGGTCAAGTTGTATTGCAACAAAACGTGGAAGATACGCAAGAAGGACCGCACGCTTACGTAGCGAAAACGAACGAAGGAAAACGTTGGAAAGAACAATCGAGTCCAGGTTTACCGCAATCTTCTCTGATTGGAAACGATGAAGGGGAGGTTCGTATAATAAAACCTTTATGCAGCTTGCTTTCTTTCCGACATCAGATATATCAAGTTCTATTGACCAATCCTTACATGTGCATCTCTAGCTCTCTGCGATGGTATCGTTAGATTAAACAGAATCAGAGCGTGCATAGAATACACAAAATTTATACATTAACCGAGCGAAACCGGAACTAAGCGTGCAACGAGATCATAAATTAATCTGGTTTCTCAAACACAAAAGTGTAACCTACAATAATGACTACTTTCAGCAAATAATGAATCTTACAAAGAAATAAGTGCAAAAATTTCAATTATCTGATATTCTATCACACTTACAATAGACTACTTACAATAATTGATATAATAGAAAATTTCAATAATTGTTATATGTAATAATGCAATATGTAATTAATACGTAATAACTCAACACAAATAAAATTTAATTACGTCAATATATTTATCATACTAAACCAATTTTAAATAAATATTTTATGAATAAGATATCGTTGGATTTTTTATTCGTTAAATCCAATAGTCTTTTATATTAAAATTAGCATTTATTTTTATCATTTAAAAAATTTATAAACATCAGAATTAAAGATATACAATTTAACAACAGCAAATGCGATCTCATAGGTTCAACTAGTATATGTCCCGGCGGAAACGTTGGCGCAAAGAGGTCAACTGAAAAGAAACCGCGGAAGGAAGCAATATCCCATTCGCCAACAGCATCAGCAACGGGATCAAGGAAATATCGACCAAACCTCTCTTTCGCCCGATCAAGAAACTTTCGCGCGGCAAGTGCTGCAGCAGATCCAGAAAGAACACGAAGAGAAGGCGCAGTTCCTGAAGGACGAACGCGTGAAAGAGTTCGTCAGATTAAACGAGGAACAAAAGGCGCTTGAACGGAAGACGCGATTGCAGCAAGAGGCCCTTCAGAGAGAACAGGAACTGTTGCGACAAAAGGAGGCCGATAAGAAACGAAAGGAATTGGAAAGGCTGGAGGAAATGGCGAGGCAACGAGAACTGGATCGAATTCGCGATGCTAGAGAAAAGCAGAGGCAGGAAGAGCTCGAACGACGACGGCTTTCTGAACTTCGCGTCAAGGAGGACAGACGTCGCGAGGAAGAAGCCAGGCAACGTGAAGAAAGGCAGAAGTTGGAGCTGGAGCAGCAGAGGATTCTGGAAAGTCAACAAGAGGATCAATTGCGAACTAACAGTCCGAATTTCCAAAACGCCCAGTCCCAAGCCCTGATCCGCGACCAGGGGCGTCGCCAGCACCTCACGGATCCCGCCAGAATCAAGAAGCTTCGCGGCAGGCAACGTCCACGGGTCAATCAGTACCAGGAACAGTCGAATTACCGCGAGGTCACTACCACGCCGTCGCCCAATCAGCCGCCCCTCTCCGTTTACATGGGCAGTCCAACGTCCAAGCCAGTAGATAACGTCAAGGTTACCGATGTCTTGAGACTCTTAAGAAACGCGAAAACCATCGCCGTTCTAGATAACGTCGGTCCCAATAGTCCGCAGGTATTCGTGGGTCCGTCTAACCTGGACCCGCCCTACGGTTACGTGAAGTTCGATCTTCCCTATTTGTCGTCAATCGATCACAACAGAGTGGAACGCAAAGTAGATAAACTGCCTTTCTTCGTCGCTCCGCTAAGCTTCGACCCGCCCCCGGGTTATTCTAAAATTCCCTTCCCGGCGCCGCACATTGGTTCCGTCGTTGTCAACAATCTGTCGGAAGCATCCACGGAACCGAACACCCAGACGGACGAACAGAATCCTAATCCGACGCCAGTGATCCAGCCGAACTCTTACAGCGACGTTGATCACAGCGGATCCATCGCTACCACCGCGTCCTACGATTCCTCGACCGATCAAAACTTCTCCCCGGAATCCAGCAGCCTTAAGTACGATCCCACTTACTCGCCGCCCTCAAGTTCAAAGTTCAGATTTAGACAGTACTACGACAATAAGCCGACCTCCGTGGGCAGCACGTCATACTACGGTGAACAATCGACCACGAAGACGAAACCGAAGCACTACCACGAACAAGAAACCAAGTTTACTACTCAGCCTCCAAAAATCGAGACGACAGCCAGCTATAGACAGGAAGTGTCCTATTCTAACACACCGAGTTTCCAGGATAGGTCAGTAAGTCCGCACGATACCTCTGCGAAAGAACAAGATCTAGCGGCCCAATTGGCGCTTATCAATCAGGAGCTTGTCCAACAAAGAGAGCCTCAAAAATACAATACCGCCGAACAGTATCATTCCCAGTCTAATCTGGGCGAATCGTACGACGACGCCAATGACGTCAGAGGGCCAGTTGGACCAACGCAATACAATTTACCAGCGGAATTACCGCCGATCTCTCCGCACTTGCCGGGCTTAGTAAATTCCTTGTTGGATAAGCAAGAGAGGAATCTTCCTGTCGCTCCGACGCCACCACCGACGACAACCACGACCACGACGCCAACGACGACGACTACTCGTATAAACTCCACGACTTACAGGCCACGAGGAAGGTGAGTGTGATTTTATTATAATTTATATTTTCTATGCAATAATTTTTTAAATAATAATTTTTTTGTATAAAATAACTGTCGTTATATAAATTAAAAAAATAAATTTTTTAAAAATATTTACAATTATTAACCTCGATTTTATAATTCACATATCTTTTTATCTCTGTTATTTTTCAAGATTTCCTTATTGGTGTTCAAGATACGCATCGTAACATAATTTATATGGAAAACATAAAATTTTTTCACATAAAAACTCTTATGCCATTAGATCTAAATTGATGGTTTAAGACTAAGTAGAGCATAAAAATTTTTCAATCATACATGTCAGTAAGACGTTAATATATTAGAATTACGTCTGATCGCGCACAGAGGCAGAAATGTACCTACAAGACCCAGAACGACCCAGGCACCTGCTAATAGAACGGAAAGAACCCGAAGACCGACGCACAATCGAGCCAAATCTAGATTTACGACCACAACGGAGGAATATCGCGAGTCCTCTTACGAACCAACGAAGGCGAAGACGCCGGAGACCACGCAGAAATATAACGCGGTAGAACAAAGAAGACCAGCATCCAGAACGCAGAAGCACAGAAATCGAGATAGAGCGAATCAATCCGCGGTATGATTAATTTTTAATCCCACTTATTCTTCACACTATTCTTAATATCAAGATTAGGATTCCTCTAAAAAAAGAAAACGTGGAGTTTGCATAAATATTGTTTTCTAAACTTATCCAGGTTCAAAGCCAAGGAGCTAACTACGAAAACTACCCGCAGAGCGACGCATCTCCCGACGCGTACTCACCGCCGAGTGGACCTGCTTCTGGTCCGGAGAATTATCCGACCACTCCCATGCAGACCGAGAATTACCCGTCGGCGTTGCGCGAGGTCCAGCACAGCACGCCCATAGTGTCCGATGATTACGCCAGAAATCAGAATTACCCGCAAAATCGCCCTCAAGAAGCGCGCTATCAGCATCAAGACGTGATGTACGATCAGAATGGTGACTACCAGCAAGCGGGACTCGAGAAAACACCGGTAAATGGATTCAATTATCAAGTTGCAAACGAGAATTCACCGGACCAAACGATTTCCCAGAGACCCAAGGAATATCCGCATTATCAGGAAGACTACAATCTGGCGACGACGGTGGAATCGCGGCGAGTCACACCCGGCGAGGAACATCGGTATTCCCCGATTTATGAGGTCAACGTGGCGCAAACTCAGCCGGATTACAACGTCGGCGGGCAGAATTCGTTCCGCAATGACGACGGCAAGATCGAGAGTGCCGCGATAGAGACTGATCCGAATGCATCACCGATCTTCGTTCCGCTTCAACAGAGCAAGCAGCAGGATTACGACATGCAGATTCCCTCTACAGAGCCGTCGCTTATCGAAGTATGTGTACTAAAATAATATTTGTGTAACGTTATATAAATGTAGTTGCATTTTCTAAAGTAACATTCTTAAGGAGGTTCTACAGATAATGGATGTATCTAAAAATTGGAAAAAACTTTATGGACGTGTAAATTGAGATGCAAGAAAAGTGCTCGAAAAATTTTAGCATCGGTTTACCGTGTAAAAATTTGCAAAAATGAATTTTGAAATCACAGTTTTTAACATAAACTACATATGGCAGAGGGGCTCTTGGAGACAGGAAACGAGATATTAATTATATAAAGGCGACCCACCAAAGCTCAAAAAACGGAGCTCTTATAGATCTTAATCTAAGCTTTTCAGAAATATCGAGAAAAACAAGGGTTATCGCGTAAAATTTTGTGATATTGGCTATTGAAACAGGCCATATCACAGTTCACGTAGCGTGCTTCGAATAACAAGGGAAATTTGGCAATGTCGCAGCGACTGCACCCGCGCGAAAAGTGTACAGCCAGTACAGCACCACAGTATGACAGCACCTCAAACTTAAGCACCTAACGTTTACGAGCGCTTACGGAGAATACTCGCTCTAGAATTATGTGAAATTGTGAAATAACCGTGGTCATATGAGCAGAACTGTCAAGTTCGCGACGTTACCACATTTTCTTCCATTATAAGCCACCAGAGTCAAAGGAGCACTTACACGATATTTTTAATTATTCCTCGCTTCGACTAATATGGGTATGATATAAGCTCTAACGTCATCAAAATTCACGAAAATATTTTATGAATACTTAGAACCGATGAATTTGAAGATTTTCTCTTCATCTCTCAACTGACTAGAGAGTATCTGTAGAACCTCCTTAAGTGACAAAATTCTCGTTGAAATTTTACCAGCAATGAGATAAATTATAATCGATTATTATAAATCATGCATATAAATAATTAGATATCATATGCCATTGATACATAAAAAGAATAGCATACTGTAGAAATGTTCCATACAAAATATTACAAATATATTTTTCTATACAACATTTAAATATAAAGTTTAATATTTTTTAAATCCAGAGTTTAAATATCGTTATAATTATTTCTGTCCCAGATCGCCACAACTAGCACGACCACTCCGGCGCCCGTAATAATACGTCAACGAGTTCGAGCTCGCTTAGGAGGCGGTCGCACGCATCACGATTCCGCGATTCAGACGCGACCCCGTAACTCCCAGGACGAGTACGTGCGTTTCAGCGCGGTGAACAACGATTCCGGTCGCGGCGCCGGTCAGCGTCTTCGGACTAGGACACGCGCGCGTCCTCAAAGTCACGGGTCGCAGGTGCAAACCGAGGGTAACGAGTACATAAAAATACACGCAAATCAACAGCAGAGGCTGGTCGCCACCACCATACCGCCAACGACGACAAGCACGACAGCTCGCACGGTGGAGGAGGACGTCGATTACGGTTTTATAAGGCCACCGAATTTCCAACCAGCGCACCCGGCGCACCCGGTGCATCCGGTGGATAATAGATACCAAGCGCCCATTACATATAGACCTGCTTTGTCCGAGGTACGTTTCGCGAAATAACAGGAGAAGAAAGAGTAACTTTTTAGATGCAAAAAAAAAATGAATTTTTAAACAACAATCTTTTCCGTGATGTTTCAAAGAACTCTCATATTTCAATCAAGAGTTTATACTAATTGTCATCACTAACAGAACATGTCGCTCATAATAGTTTTTCATAAAAAATAGTAATTCTTAGAAGCATATAAGTTTTTAGATTTTTATATATATTTTTTTAGGTATTTTAGAAATAAATTCTTGTATAACAATCTATCAATCTTATCTTCGATACCTAAAATTCTTCAATTCGCTTTAATATTGTCCAAAAAAGTATTTTTCATCGGATACTTTAAAATGAAATTTCCGCGTAGCACTCCATCAATTTTCTCTTCAACGCACTGCATCGCGCAGAAAGCACTCGAAATCACCCTTCTGAAACGCTTGAAAAATAAAAATAAATAAACACGCCGCAGATACAGCACATCTTCTCCAACGACGAGACGGCGGTAGAATCGAGCCCGGCTCATATTTTGAAAAATCGTCCGAAATACCAGACCTCGAGCCGTCGCCCGACCACGAAGTTATTCACGACGACGACGACGAGCACGTCGACGGAAACGGTACCTGTTGCGACGACGATGCCAGACGATGCCGTGTATACTACAAAATCGAAAACGAGATTGGACGATCCGAAGTCGACGAGAACACGAGGAAGAGTTCGCCGGCCGGGGAAGAAACGCACCACGACGACCACAGAATCCGGCCTCGAGGCGAACAACGAATTACCGCTAGACGAAAACTACCCTCGAATAACGCCGCAACAGCTGCCGGTGACGGCGAGCGGACAACAGCCTCTCTACGACGACAATTTCGACGTCGCGCCGCAATTCGTGCCGAATCAGAATCGACCGGCACAGTTTTACGAGGAGAACAGCGAAAACGTAAGTGAATTCTCTGACGGGATTGCGTTGTGAAGCAAAAACATGAAATGTAATAAACAGATATTGAAAAAAGAATGAAACGTAACATTTTTCCTCGTTCCTGATGTAAAAATTTATTAAACTGTCTAAATATTCGGCTAAACTGTTTCCAATATTTTTCTAAAAGATGTGACTCGCTTCTTTAGACTGCTAAAGTATAATGTGAATGTATGTTTCCAGTATCCGCCTCAAGAATTTGTTCTAAACTTCGGCAATCTGCCGGAGCAGCTATCGCAACGCGAAGAATACGATCAGACCCAGCTGGCTAGTATTCCGAAGAAGTATAGCCACTCGAGTCGCGTGAACTCGGACGCGAGCGCGCACTCCACAGGTGACATTTACGGCGCCGAGAGTCAGTGGTCCACGAAGTTGTCGAAGACGTCGTTCCAGCCGAGCTTCGCCGAGAATCGCGTGCCCGGTGAATCGAAGAGGGGCCGAGGCGGAACCGGCAACGATCAGGAGAACGAAAACACGCCCGAGATCATTACGGCCGGGCCGGAGGAGTCGTCGGTGACGATGGTCGTTTCTTCCGACTATCAGAAACATGCGAATGACGCCGATAACACGGGCACGGTGATCGATGGCTTCGGATGGAAGACGACCGCGCAGGATCATAGGGAGGAATTGAACGCCACGACGGCAGTGACAAATTCGTCGACGACAGTACTTCAAGATCAAACTCGAAATGATAAGGAAATGTTGCCAGGATCGCGGGACTGGACGAGCAGCAAGAACTTTACGGAACAGATAGGCAACGACACGAGGGTGACAAAACCTGACTCTCTTCCTGGTCGAAAGGTAAATTACTCTATAAAATAAAAGTATAGAATAATCGAATATTTTTTAAATATTATATATACATATATTAATATTTAAAATTTAATTTTATAATTTTAAACATTATGTAAATTTTAAAATACACAATTTATTTTAAGTAATAATAAATTCGAATGTAGTATTGATATTTAAGTACCTTACTATAAGCCACCTTTTGTGATATTCTATTCTGCATCAGAAGACAATAGATATAAAATAAGTCGGACATTTATCTTTCAGACTCGAAGAAGGAAAGTTCGCGTGCGGGTAAGACCTCTTGTGGACGATTTCGTCACCGCTGAATCTCAACACTACAACTCTGCGGTGAACAGCCTGGTTCAAGATCAATACAAGTACAATCCGATTCACGATTCGAGGTTCACCACTGCCCAGCCGATTGCGACGACTGTCACCGCAAGTACCGCGATGGCCGCAGAATCGACCAAGAAATCGCTGCTTCAGGATTTCCTGGAGGAGATGCTGAAGAACGACGAGGTCTCCATCCCGACTCGCGTCACTCCGATCACTACGGAGTTGCCCGACCGGACAATATTGACACCCATGACGACGCCGATGACGACGCCGTACGTTTTTTCCAATAATGGCGAAGTTACAACCTTGAAGGAAAATTACACACCGATCGATACGACGCTGATACCGAAAATTAACGAAGAACGCGTTACAACGATAAATGAAAATTCAAACGGATCGAAAGACGAGTCCCAGGAAGCGACAACTTTGTCGCAAGAAGAAACTGAAGTGCGAAAAGAAGTTAAGCCGGAAGAAAACATGAATTCTCAGGAAGACAAGCAGAATAATTTGGAAAACGTCGTATTTAAACAAAGATATAACTTGCCACATTATCCCGACAGATCAGGAAAAAACAAAGACGAGGGTAGCATAACAAAACTGATCGACTTCCCGAAGGAAGAGACACGAAAAATGAGTGCCATTGGTAAAGAGAAAGAACATATAATGAGATTAAAGAAGCAGGAAAACGTCGAAGAAAACGAAGCGCATCCGAAGAATCATAGGGTCAAGTGGAGCGAAGTAAAATACCCGTCCTTCGATAAGTCGCAAACTGCGTCGAATTCGTATTCTACGACGACTATCCCCGGTATTGTTACGCGAGACGAAGGCAATGGCAACGTGAAAACGCTCACCGATTACGTGAAGGCCATCTTTGACAGCATGAAGAATGCCGAAGAGGGTGAGAAGGAAGAGGCGAAAGTGATCGCAGCTAAAAGTGAGACAGATAATTATAACTTAAATGATACCGCTTCGGCGCACGCGAAGGAAAATGAAAAGATCGATCGAAAAGCCGGCACGACTGGCTCTTCGCAGGACATTTCCACGACGCAACGTGTTGAAGTTGAAGAGAACGCGACGAAAGCCGAAGAAACGCAGGAAGCGACAACGAAGGAGAACGCTACCACTCTCGAATCAACCACACCAATTCCAGATACAACTACGAACACGGTACTGTCCGAAGAGACCCTGGTAACAGAGCCTTCCACGACGACCACGAAGACAATCAGACAAACAAACAACGTGCTCAGAACAAACTCCACAATGTTGGGCAAGGTCCTAAGAACCTCGACTACTACGAAGGTGTCTCACATGACGGAGATTTGCTATAGAGGTCGATGCGTGATGACGAGGCCCAAAATGGAGGATATTATGAAGAGATGAGGGAAATTCGACGACTCGTCGATTCGGTTGTGGGATTATCTCTAGCACTTTCCTGTCCGGTTCTTAAACAAATTAAAGTAAAACAAATAATGTGACGAGCAAAAATCTTGAAAATTCTTTATTAAATATCTGTCATTGCTGAGAAATGCAGTAAAACGAGTAACTTAGCAACATCAATATGATAAGAATTGAATAAATAATATGAATGAAAAAATAACTGAAATTTTACCGGGCAGAAAAGTGTTAACTTTTGCACTTTTTGCATAATCTTTATTTATTGATAGAGATATATCGTATTAACAAATCGAATCTTCAAAAATTAATATTTCTATTAACGTCCGAAACTACAGTTATGTCTTCATATTCTCTGAGATTGCGCTTCGTGTTAGAATTCTTTTAATTACACACTAAATCATCAATAAAAAAGTAATATTTTTATAAAAAATAAATTAATATTTGATCTAAAAATGTCAGCTGAATTACGGCGCAATAACAGAACACTAAATTGATCACCAAGTTTCCATCTCACCACATACACGTAAGGAATGATCAATATTCTCCCTAGACACCTTCATTTAGAGAAGATATTTTATCGCTGGGAGATAAGGCATCGCTCAAGATGTCGCGGCAAATTATGTGTGTCGGAGGGTTAAAAGCGAAATACCAACGTGATATCAGTCGTGAAAAGGGACGTCCCCTTCTGGGAAGGAAATTCCGCGTCGCCGGGGGCAAATCGATCGTCCGTCGCGACGCGTACTTATAAAAAGGGCGCCGAGCGTATGCCGGCGTCCTTCCAGCGAGATCGAAGCGCGGAAGCTCGACTTGCGCGAGTGACCCGTATAGGGAGCTAAGTCTATTTAATTTAACTACATACCTGTGTAGTATACGTGTAAGTTAAGCGTGTAAGTATTTTAATAAAGACGCGAGAACGCAAGAAGATAAATGTATTTTGTTCCTTTCTCATTTCCCTGATGAGCAACCCGAAACCCAGTGCAAGATATTTTAGTCCTTCCAACGAATCTTCATTTGTTTAAAGAAAAAATTGGATTTTTTTACAAATTCTTTATAATTTTATACGTAATTTATATGTACAAATACATCGGAAATTTTCGGGAAATTTATAAGTGGTACTGATTTTAAGATTTACACTACCGTTCTAATAACTTTTTCTAATAACCCTTAAGAGGAATTTCATCTCGCGCCCCGACCAAAATCTACCCTTACATCGTCATCGATCGGCAAAGTTCAACCCCCCTCGTGCAGATGGTGCCACGTCACGGAGGGGTGGTATTCCGGTACCGGATATACGACGGGAGATGCTCGTATAGGGATCTCACCCTATCGTCGTCATCGTGCGAGCGAATGGCTAGGTGGCACGGTAAGCGACGAAGGGTGAGGAGTGACGAGGCCACGAGGAGGGTGGGTGCAACGAGTAAACCGTTGGGGATGAGGATGAGGCGAAGAGGGAGAGGACGGGCGAGAACGACGTAGTGAGAGGAGTCACGGTTCAGTTGAGGCGCAAGGGTCCTCCGGCTAAGGACTACGGTCCCTGGCAGTCCGGGACATTATGCCAGGCGGCGAGGGGTCCCCGATCAATCTCCTCGACCACCACCATCATCATCGCGCGTCGACCACCGCCACCACGTCCACGTCCACGGCGGACGAGTGCGCGAACGGCGACGATGTCAGAACCGCGTCATCGACGACGAGCACCGGTGCGACCTTCGCCAGCGCGATGACGAGCGCCCTAGCGGGCGACGGTCTCCGTCGCAGAAAGGTCATACACGCGGCCCGCGAGACCCTCGATAAGGGTGAGTCAGGCGCCACTTCTTCGTCCCTTCCCGGTACCATCGCGTTCCTCCGCATCATCGTCGCTTACGAAACCTCACGCAACCACACGTCGCCGCGGATACCATAGTCCCGAATCACTTTTTCGACTTTCTGGTGTACGAATATCGAGATCGATCTTCCTTCCCCGTGATGCCGCCCGATAGGCGGAACGCTCTCTCCGATCCGTTCCTGGCCTCGTTCAACGAAGTAACCGTGGCGGAGCGAACCGACGTGTGTTAATACCGATTTGCGAATCGACTATGTCCCTCGATCGCGTATGCACGCGTATGCACGCGTATGCACCCTCTAATATCGCGATTAAGAGATGGACACCATAAGGTGCGAATTTAGATCTTATAGATCGATTGCCGCATTTAACTTATTATTAACGTATACTCTCTCCCGTAAAAGTATCTGGATATTTTAGAATTCAAATGTTTTTATGTGTATAGTAACGTTTATTTAGCGTATCCTAATTCAACACGTGCGTTAACATAATATTAATTACTAACGTTATCATTAAGCGACACGAAAACATAAATTCGATAAATTCATGCGGTTACTTCCGCATCCTTGCATTTTCGGTATAAACGCTTTCATAGATATATTTCATGTATTTGGTATGCTAGAATCGTTCTCTATTGATGTATCTGCGAACATGACGAAACTCATAAATAATACATAAATTTCGGGGCGGATGAGTTCATGCGGTTTCCGGCGGTACAACGAAATGACACCACGCTCGATTTGCAATGATAAATATCTTTGCAAAAAAAGCATGTTTTATGTTATGTTCATCTCTTTTGATGACCTCGTTGTTTCCAGACCGCCATGTTGCAGTTGCACTTTCGAAATGGTTGCTGTTATGGCATTCATGCGGGTTGCTATATAGGTAAATGTATCGCAGATACACACCGCGATCCTTTCGCGCGATAGAATGTGAAATAGAAGTTATTTCATGTTTAATCGATTAATCGATAACATCTTCCTCAAAATGTCTGTCATAACATACCTGTCGTGAAATTTAAATTTCCTGTTAATCATGTATTACACGTGTACAACGGCAGTACAATGTCAAATTTTAATTTGTTATAGATACTTTTTTCTTCTTCCCTCTAAAATTATAACAAAAATAAAATAAATAAAAATTTTAAAATATGTTAATAATTTATAGAATGGGCGCTTGCGTAGATATTTAATAATAAAAACGTAGATATTTAATAATAAATTTAATACGTTAATGTAATTGTAATATATGTTATTATTAATAATATATTAAATCATTAAATAGAAGGGAAGAGATACTAAATTAATTATTTTTAATAATGATTAAAAATAATCGAACAATTATTCCCTTTTTTTATATGTAGGTAACAAATAATAAAAGAAATAAATTTTAAATATTTTAATCAAGGATAAATTATTTAGTATTTTCCTGAAAATGGTGAAAAACGCTTTGTAATACAAGATTTTTTAATATTTCATGAGTTGTAACTAATTTATTTACCATAAAAATCTGGTTTTATAGAAATAGCTGTAATTCGAGAAATACCGCAGTTCTACTTGGTTCTCATCGCTTCTCCTACGCTTTGCCAATTTTAACATTCGGCGTACTTTATGTGCGCACGGGAATTACGTAAAAATCGCACGTGGACTGAATGCATTATGTACTTGTATGTAATAAAACTAGTACACTGCTCGTTCTGCAGATAACGTCTACAGAATTATATAATTAGTACATATATATAATCTAATTGATAATAGAATCTAAAACAAACTAAATGTATTCGACAAAAGAAGAATACATTAACCCATTAACATTTTATTGATAATTACTGCAAACTTCCAATTTACATAGAAATAAATTGGAAAATTGCATGCAAACCAAAAAAACTCAACTGCGACATCAAATTGGATAAATGTAAAGATATAATATTCATTCTTTAACCTATATAGTAATTTGTTTTTATACATTTTTTTATTTGTGTATACTCAGATTTTTTAAATATTTATGTACAAATTTTTACAAATCTTTAATTTAATTTAATTATATCGCAAAAATCAAATTTGCTTTAAAAAATTCTCTATCTTCCGAAACATTTAGTCAGCACTGAAGACATTTACAATATTATATCTTCGATATGACAAAGTTATATCATTTTACGATAGAACGAAGATCATGATTAATTTAGTTAGCTTAACAACCGTGAAATTTTCACATTTATCAAAGTCCCAAAAACTTAGTAATAAATTTGATTAGCACGAAATCCACACGGGATTAGTTCTGAACTGCGGCTTAACTTCATCGGCCCAAACTTAACTCGAATTCGTTTGACACTTGATGCGGAATTTCCTTAATGTAAATTAATAAAAATATTCTACTTGGTTTTATACATATATTTTTCAATCTCTTATTTTAACCCTAGAATCCATGATTCATTTTTTTGACCTTCTAATCCATGACTGGGGGCAATATCGACCCCACGCTTTATTTGATCGTAAAACCGGTCCTATAGAAATAAAGGGCCTTTAAACCTACATGAATTTCTTCGTTTTTTAATAACGAAGAGAATGGTATACGGTAAATTTAATTTTACTCAAGTTTAGTTAGTGAAAAATCCATTTAAAGACTGAAAAACGCAGAAAATCAGCAAAAACCTCTTTTTTTAAACAAAAATTTGTATCTTTTTTTGTAATCAACCGATTTTAAAAATTCAAACGGGGTTTTAAAGAGGACACATTAGACTATTAGAAAAAAATTGTCATCGCTATGTTCTGTTCAAAAAGTATATTTATTTGGGACTATAAAAATGAAGAAATTCGCAAAGTTGAAATACGGAAAAAGTCGATGAAAAAACCATAAAAAATTGTATTTTAAGTATTATTTCATTTTTATTTGATACAAAATAGTAAAAAATATGAAAAAAATGAAACATTATATCGCCCAGCCATTTTCTGCGAAATGTCAATCTTCTATAGGCAACGGGATTTTTACCGACTAAATTGTGTGATATTTCGTCTTAAATAATATTTATGACTATTTATGCTCAGATTACGTAATAATACATGATATATATTGATTCTAGCAAAAAAATAAAATTAGCTTACCGTGACGAAACTCAAACGGCAAGTCACGACTGGGGTCGATATCGACCCCACGCCCGCTTTGCGACTGTGCTACTTCACTGCTAGCGAACAACTAACGCTGCGCCCGACATAACCCTACTTTTAGAAAGTTGAAATGAATTATGGTTCAGGTCCTGAGTCGATAATGTCACTCGCTAGCTCAGGAGCGTAGTTCAAAGTTCGCCTGGGGTCGAAATCGACCCCAGTATGGATTCTAGGGTTAATAGTATTTAATTTAAATATAGCAATCTTAATCTTAAATCTTGATTTAATTATATCAAATTAATTCAAAGAGGGACTTTAGATCAGACATTTCTATACTGTGCGTTTTTCCAGTTGTTGAATTTTATAAACATTGAAAGGGGGCAACTTCGGTGAAATGGCAAAATTAAAAAAGATTGAAGGATCGCTGGTGTTCTTAGGAAGTACAGCTCTCAGAAGACATAAAAGTTTAGAGGAACGCTTAACGTTTGTTAACGGGAGCGTCGGTTCCAATCGTGCTGCTCGAATACTCGAATACGGCTACTCGACCTGTTTTTGTGTCACATCACAATCGCGCATTGAACCGAATGATGTGACACATTGTACATCATCCGCATTGTGTATTATTCACTGATTACGACTTGAAATAACCTACATGGAGTTTAAAACGAAGAAACGATAATTGATATCACGATTTCAATGCAAGTTTCAGGGATTATACTTCTGGTTTGGTATCCGCAATAAAGCAAAGAATTTGTAACGTTGAGCGATATAGGAATGTCATTGTTCGCAATTCATTTCACTTTTTCATTTATTTGTAAATTATTGTGTAATTTTTTTTTATATCAATTCATCTTTTCCATAAATTTAATTGAGATTTGTATATATAATATTATACTTTTCTTAATTTTATACATTTTTCTTCCGATATTATAAATTTCTTCTTGTTATTCCGGAAGACCTTATAAAAGAGAAAATTTCTCTGATGTACTAGTACCAGACAACTTGTAAGTTAAATCCTCCTCCGTAAAATAAGTAAAGAAAAAGTTTATACAGCGTATATCCTATTGAAGTATACAACTACACTATTAAGAAAATTGCAAAAGAACCTATAGCTTGTATAACATATTTTGAACAAGAGTATCATAATATGTATCGTAATATAATAGACTTTTACTTGGCAATTATGAATTGTAATACAAATGCGATCGTAAAAATGCTTTAATGCAAAATAATATATGGTTTAATAAAGATGCAGCTCTCCTATCGATTCACGCCTTCTATATTAAAGAAAATTTATAATTAATGCCACGTTACTGTAATAAATTCACATTATATTATTATCACGTTAATATTTTATTACAACAAATTTTAAGATACTTTTAAATTGGCTTTATTATATACATTCTAATCTCTTTCTGTCAAATCACTATGTAATATTAATATAGGTATGTATATATTTATAGCAAATTATTTTTGCTATAATTTTATCTTACTTTTTAAAGGCGAGAAATTTAGAAAAAGTCCACGAAACAAGCCGAATGTAGATGCAATATAATAAGTTAGTCCAATCAAAAATTAAAAGAGAAGAGCGAGAGGGCCAATATAAAAAAAAAACTTAATCTTTATACTTAGATTATTTCCAATCTCTCTGAAAAAGATTTTAAAAGATTATAAAATTTGAAATATAAAGATTAATGGTACAATCTTTAATATGAAGATTTATGGTTATTCAAGGTGACGCTAATACAAGAACGATGACTAGGTTAACTATCTAATATGACAGAGTGAAAAGAAGAGAAGGATATCTGAAGATAATCTTACTCCGTTCATACGTAATTTTATTACAAAGCTATTTTATTCCAAACTATATTTGCAAAGCTTTTTCCTCGAGAAAGCGTCACATGGAAAAGCTTTTATAGTTTTATGGATGCGCTGGCACCTTCAAGTCGTTCGCTACCCGATGTCGTCGGACTGCAAGTGTAAACAAGGTGCGTTGACCTCATTCCGAGTATATCAAGTCGATGAAGCATGACTATTCAGTAAAAAAAGTTCTTGGCGCACAAATAGTTGTTTGTAGGCGTGCTTCGTGAGAATAACTTGCCTGTACCAGCTTGCAAAATATATGAAATTTATTAAAGATCTAAGTAGGTGAAGAGATAATAAAAGATAAATATTTGGATCAAAAATTATTTGGACCAAAAGACGTAAATAAAGCTTCTCAATCTGTCATCGCGATAGTTTCCTGTTAACATTTTTCTTGGGGAGATTGTGTACGAAGTAAAAATATACAACACAAAAACAGAAGGCAGAAAAGATCTCCTGACGATTTCGTATAGCTATTATACATCAGACATATGATGACACATGTTGCGGAGATATGCGAGACATGTTGCTAGATATCGCGATGAGACGATCTAATTATTGTTTTGTTTTATAAACAGAATTGCGATATCTAATGCGATCCTGCAAGAATCTGTGATAATAAGATGCAGTAACTCTGAGTTATTTTGTATTTTTCCAACTAAACTTTAAATTATATTAATCCCTCGAAATACATTATCGCATTTGCATCCTTATTTTATGGAAATATCTAAATTTTCATTAGCTTAAAAAAAATAAAGTTAAAATCAGAAAATTGTTATCAAGAAAAGATGTGTATTCTAATCAAGAAATCGATATGGAAAGAATCTATATAATATGTTGTATGCGTATTAATTAATAAAGCGATTTTAAAACACACATGTTTCGCATAATTGCCGCGTAAGATAATATTTTGCCCGAGTGCATCCACGATGCGCGCATCAACGGTGTTAAATTACGTCCTTAACGGAAACGCGCGATTTCTCATTCGAGACGATCGTGTCCATAATTTCCGCGTTTTGTGCAGCACCGTCCGCAGACGAGATGTAGATAGCGTGCAGCGTGCACTCTCCGCGAAAGTATAGATATATATACATATATATCTGTATATATGCGCGGCTGTGACGTAAGAGGGATTCTCACTCCGTTCCCATCCCCCCACCGAAATGAGATGCGGTGGTAGCATTTCAGCGACGATTCATCCAAAGGGATTCGGAATGGGGACCTTCCGAGGCAGCTTAACCACGGCGTATACTCTAGATCTCAGAGGTGCGAATTTCCGACCTGATGGCTCGCGAGTTATTAATTATTCAAATAATTTCGCGCGAGCCCGTGCGTACCAGAGCATTAATAATAATCAAAAGAGCAATAAAACTAACAGAACCTATTAATTTATTTCTAGTACCAAATATTCTACTTGTTAATTATATATATATAATATATATACGTATAATTTGTTTATAAAAAAATATATTTTGTAAACAATTCTTCTAAGCCTCGTGACATGATAATTCATGCAAATATTGGTTTTTCTAGTCCCACTGTAGACCTCAAAACTAGTCTATTCAGAAACATCTTGAGAGATTCTCGAAATACGTGTATTATGTAATATAGTAGAAGAAATTTCTTAGTATTCTCGTATTTCGAGAATCTCTCAAGATCTTTCCGAATAAACTAGTTTTGAGGTCTACAACGGAACTAGAGAAACCAATATTTGCACATAAATTATCATGTCACGAGGCTTAGAAGAACTAATATTTATGCCTTCACACCATGTCACGTGCTAAATTGGAAGTGTATTTTTCCTTTTCATAACATTTATCTATTTAATACATTGTTTTTCTTTTAATTGCATAAAGAATATAAAAATGCAAAAGAAATAAAAAAGATACTATAAGAAGAGATCTCTTGTATAATCATAACTTGATTGCTCTGACATTATCGCACATGGAAACCGTGGATAGTGTTGGTGAAAATCATAAATCAAATTATATTCCTGCACTGACAATGAGAGATAACAGGGTAGAAAATACGGAATAATTCAGGTACGCTTGCATTAGCAATCTCCAACTACTGTTGGAACTCTCTGCCATCATTTACGCTATAATGGCTCTATATATTTTACGAAAAACTTCAAAAATAATAATTTAGTAGAAACAACGATTTAGAGTCTATATCATATAGTGCTATCCTCTTTATAAAATCGCAATTTAACAAAATCTTTATATGTACCTAAACAAATTTAATAAATATAATTTAAAAATAAAATATTACTGTGTTTTGTATGGTACATGATCTTAATTAGGTAATAATTAAAATTTCTGTTAATTATTTAAATGAGAAATAAAAAGTGCAAACTGTGTGAGCATTAATGTCTAATTTTATGTAAAGCAAAAGAGGTAACAAATATTTCATCTTTCTCTAGTAAAAACCTGCTTCTTGTAAACTCAAAATTTAAGCTTTTAACGACAGTGTATACCGATGAGAGCTTTAAAGTTTTGTGGTCGACATAGATGGATGCCCATCTTCACGCCTACGCTAGATACCTTCGAGTTCGCTCAAAGTAATCGCACATACTTTATCTTGTCGACGGATTTTTTGTCATTACACGTTTGTAGGTATACGAGATTAATGGTCGCATCCCTTGCGCAGCGGTATAATTTACCGTTTGGTTTTCGTTACACGTGTCGAGAGAAACCGATTCTTACCACATCAATTGACTTTAACCGTAGTTTAATTGTTTCTCCATCCCTTTTGGCAAACAAGAGAGACAATCAAACTACGACTGAAGTTAACTGACGTCAGAGGAATCAACCCTAACGGCGAAACGTTATTCCTCGGCAATTATTTTTGTACATTTTTTTTTACAAACAAAGGGTGCGTTCCGTTTTACGCATGATGTGTGCATAATGCATCATTTATCCTTGTTGTTCACCGCATGTTAAACAAGGATAAGTGATGCATTATGCGTATCATGCGTGAAACAAAACGCATCCAAAGTGTACAAAACCGAAATATATACGTCATAACGAATATAATCATTTCTTTTATAATCATTATCTTATTAGATTATCCAAATAATGCACCAAATTTTTAAAAATACATTTTTTTCTTTCTTTTATACAAGGCTTATTTGTTCCATGCAAAAATAGCCGCTATCTTTTTATTTTTTTATAGCAACATATAGTTTGTAAAAAATGTAAAAAAAGAAATGCTAATAATGAAAGTTTAAACATATATTTATAACAATTTTATAGCAATATATAGTTTGTAAAAAATGTAAAAAAAGAAATGCTAATAATTAAAGTTTAAACATATTGTATTTATAATACTTGAGAAAATTCGCACGAGAAAAAGAAATTGGCGCGCTCTTTTTCATTAGAAATATACGATACGCGGTTGCTTTTTATTTTGTAACGATTTGTAATATTTTCAATACAAAAACGTATAGCTAATCTATTTAAGGAATCGCCGTTCAATGTTGCAGTGTGCATAAATTTATTTTCTCGATAACATGGTCGAGATACAACCTGAATAATTCGAAGAATAATTTTTAAAAAGGGTATACGCCCACACGAAGCTAAGGCGACTCATGTCAGTTAAAAATAAAAGGAATTACACACCCGTGCCATGTCAATAAATAAAATTGGGAATATTAAATTTTGCAGAAGCCACGCGCGTACTAAGACTTGAAACTTTCATCTCGAAGTTATAATTCTTCGTGCAATCAATAATTATGAATCGACGATGTCATGCCTAAAACTTAAATTTAATATAATCTCAACGGTTACATGTTTCTGTTTGCAGCGTCCCGTCTTTTGAGACGGAAAATACCATGTACAGGCCATTTAATGACCCCCCGCCGCCTATGGATACAAAAGGTTCCTACTCAGGTATGTGTTTTAATTATTATTAAACACACAGTTAAATGGATCGAAAGCAATTTTCATGATAGGCAAGAGTAAAAACTATTAAGTATTCATTCGACATCGTATAGATAACATCATAATTCCGTGAAAGGAAGTCTCGTCGGAAATTCGTATCTTTCAGTCGACATCACAGCAGCGGATGTAAAATGTTATGACTGTCGTTGGAATGTAATAACTAGATTAAATAAGTTATTAATAAAGATGTTTTTGAATATTAAATAATATTCAACGTCAAACTTCGCGAAATATTATTCGATATCAAATTTGGCGAGATATTATTTGGCAAACGTTTTGCTGCACAGACAATACTTCAATTTCAATATTATTTCATAAAGTGGAGAAATTGGCGAGTTTTGTCCAATTACAATTATACTCGAAATAAATTTAATTATAAACTTTATGTGTCAATGTCACGGAATAATTTTACGTAATGCAACACAACGTTATTTACAGGTAAATTATCGATTCCAAACGTTATTAAAGGAGTGAGGTACGCGTCACGTTTCACTTCGGTCATTTTGTACGAGTTTAATGCGCGAATGCTCTTTTATGATAAAAGGCAATGCTAGTTTTCTCGACTGGTAATGTAATATCGTTTATATAATATCCTTTTAACACTCGATTGCTGTGGTCACAGCGATAACGGTAGCCTCTGTGTGTCGCCATTAGCGACAGGTACTCAAGTATCTCTATTTCTTCCTCGTGTACGTGACTATCTTCATCAATCAGGGTCGTTCAATGATATCACCGCAAAAATCTAATCTGATAAAAGAAACACGTTGGCACATATACCTATTAACAAGAATACTAATTCTAAGTTTTATTCTTAAAAACACAAACAAAAAAGTCTCTTCTGTAAATTGGATCATCGAATTGAACATTCTGTGAACAACACTCGTTAAAGATTATGGTATGTAGTTCTGTTTCTACGAAAGTGATAATATCGATCGTCAAGCTATTAGTGGGTACCGAAGAACTTCGCGATGTTTACCCTTTCAAGCTACATTGTTGATTCTATACTATTTGGTTTGTCCTACTATCTCCGTCTTGAATTGCGAATTCGATTTTCATCGTGTTAGCTCGATGGAAAATGAATTTATCTTGAGCATATTATTTTATGAAATATAGAACATTTTTACAATAATTTTAACAATATATTATTTTCAATAAAAGTTTCAAAATTTTCCACTTCTCTCTTTCTCTTTCTCTCTCTTAAAAATGTCATTTAGAGTCATCTGTTCAACTTATGTAAATGCAATAGGTATCGTAATATGCAATATCATCTACAGAATCTGCATATTTGCACGTGATTTGCAAACTAATTGTTTTCATAACGATACTCGTTTCCATTATTTGAGATAACATACATTTTGGAGTACAAATGGAAATTATATAGCATGTATATATTTAAAGAATATTTTTGCGACGCAGTATTTTTTGCAGTAAATAATATTACATATCTCGAATTTTTTCGATCAAATAAGATGAGAAGAGTTATTATCGTTATGCAGTATTAATTTATCTTATATAAATTATATAAAGAAAGGAAGAGAAAAAGAGAAAGAGAATTATTGCTGGCACCATACTATTAAAGTGGATAATTAAGTCAGGATGGTAAGCAATTTCTTGTCCAAAAGGAATTAATTCATCGCGTATATAACTATTTTCCTTTCCTAAATATAATGTCTACTTTTTTCGACTCGCAGTAGTTTCCACGCCTAATCTTAACGCTCGAAAATCAGAATAAGCTGGCTGAAATCCAACTAGTATAGCGCTTGATATTGCCAATTCGCATACAACGATATCCCGATAACACGGCTGACCTAGTAATGCACGTAACTTATTTGGCCACACCACTAGACCCTCGAGTGGTTTTTTTTCAGTCGCGTTGGAGACCATTAATACTTCACGAAACGAAACGTGTAAGACCGTTGAACTATTCTTCGGAAAGCCGTACCTAATGGATTTATGTAGTCGTCCAATAAACTTAATATGCTGTTCCACAATTTTTTCTTTGCGATCCTTACAAATTATTACCGCGCGCGATATAGATGCAGAATAAAAACTTTTTAAATTTATAAAAATTCTTTTTATAAAATGTACTTATTTTTTATTTATTATATTCACGTTAGATGTATATAATAAATATATCTATATAGACATAGAGATTATATATTTAGAGAGATGGATGTTGCAAAATTCAATAACTTTCTGTCACGTAAATCATGCGCAAAAAGCTCAATAATTTGACTTCTTTTAGGAATGCGATGTAGTCATGATGTTCCCCAGCGGGGCGAACGACGAGACCTTGATGTGGCTCCTAGGTCGGCTCCGGGCTGGAACCCCGGGGCTAATAGTTCACGTGCGACATCACGCCTCGTCGGACAGTTACGGGTTTTACATTACGGCACCGTTCAGCGTGTAAGTATCCGTTTCTCGACAGAATATAAGGTACGCTTTAACGAAAATCGCGCGCGCGTAAGAATCAGTCGCATACGTGTAACTCGATCGGCACGCAGTCTGCTCAAGGCAGCCGAGGAGGTGCATCTTCCAAAATCCCTGAGACAGGAATTTGGCGGTGGATTTAAGGAGTTCGTCGGCTCCGAGGCTAACTGCTTCGAAGGTAGCGACGACGAGATCCGATTCTTCACTACGCAGGAAAGGCAGTCCCTTGTTCTGCACCTACTTCACACCCTGAGGGCCGGCCCTCAGGATCTCCACAGTTTACCCGGTCTTAAGATGGTGGAGGGTCAAGCGATTATCCCAAAGTGCATTTCATCCGGTATTATTTCTCAGGTGCGATATATGCGTATGTTGATTTGACCGTGCCCCGTTCGCCCCTCCTTCGACGAGACGAGATTCAAGGAATCTCATCTCGTCGAAGGGGAGATCCGTGACGCGACTCTACTTTCATCAGGTCTTCCCTCTTCACGAATTACCCGCGTTAGAGAAACTGCAACGGAGTTGGGTCCGCGCGTTCCTCAGCCCTCAACCGTTGGATGATATTTGTAAATACTTCGGGGTGAAAATCACCATGTACTTCGCCTGGCTCGGCCACTACACCACCGCTTTGATCGTTCCAGCTGCAGTGGGTGTCATATACTGGGTACGTACAAGTCTCACGTATCGCTAGTCAAGCAACGAGTATAGAGCAAGTGTGTATAATATATCTTGTTTATTTAATAAACCGAATAAAACGAAACTAATGACAAATTTGGATGTAAAATAAACCGGATTCTCAGACAACGGAATGCTCCGAGATTCAGAGGTAAGCAAAAATAAGTAACAATCGAATCCCGACTGTTTAGGTCGGCATCATCGGTAGGAACCAAGCGGTGGAGGACGTGGCGTACGTTCTGTTTTCGGTGTTCAACGTGATATGGGCTACCGTATACCTAGAGACGTGGAAAAGGAGGGGCGCGGAATTGGCGTACAGGTGGGGCACTTTGGATCAGAGGGACGATTTATTGGTCGAGCCTAGACCTCTGTTTACAGTAAGAACCTTTCCAACATTTTTAAGCCTTAGCACGCCGATGTCGGCATATGGTAACGTCGTAGTGTGCTACTCCAGCGTCTAAAGTTACACAGCGAATAGAATAGGCTTTTTTGTTACGCCGTACAAGTGAAAATATAGAGGATATACGCGACGGATTTTTGACAAAAGTCCACTTGTAAAGCCCGTTCGAGAGGTTTGATCAATTTAATCAATTCAATCCTAACTGTGTTCAGGGAACTTTGGAAGTTTCACCAGTGACGGGTAGGCTGGAACCGACGTATCCCAGGTGGCGAAGAAACATGTTTCGATACTTAGTGAGCGTTCCTATTATCGCAATCTGTTTACTCTTCGTCTTCATCGTTATGATTCTGAGTTTTCAGATACAGGCACGTATAAGTGTGTTGCACAGTTTTTAATCGTAAAAAAGTTTAAATTGATTATAGGGAAATGATTATATTATAAGATCGTTTAAAGACTTGTTTCCTATTATCTAAATCAAAAACTTATAAGTACAAATAGCAAAAATATTTATTTTTTGTCACTTTGACTTATTTATGCTGAATATATGTTTAGAATATATAAATGTACAATTTATGTGCACTCATTTTTCAAAGAAAAATAAAGTTTAAAAAAGTTAAAAAAATTGTGAAATTTATATTACTATAAATATATAACTCTTCGACTTGTTTGACTTTGCAAAATTACAGGATTGGTGGGACGCGCATCTTGAATCTGGCGGCTATGGATTCTGGCTTAGTTACGTGCCAAAGGTGTTACTCGCGGTGGTGATTGCATTAATGGACGAAGCGTACTTCAAAGTCGCGGTGTGGTTAAATGATTTGGGTATGTATCCCAATGATAATCGAGTCCCTGTATTTTACACTTTCTCTTTCTTTTCTTTCCTTCCCCCTCTCTCACTCTCTCTCTCTTATACTCTCTCTTTTTCACACACACTCTCTCTCTTTCTATCTCTCTTCCTCTCTTTCTTTCGACATAATCGTATCTCCGTGCGATTCAAAATACGAACAATTGCCATTTGCCGACTTTTTCGCATCGATATGTGTATTCTACGGTACACTGTGCACGTCTAGTTCAAAAGCATAGCATATACTTTCGATAATTTTTCCACGGCTTAGCTTCTTCTAGAGAATAATTGAAAGATTATGTAACAAGAACATCATACATTTACATGAGAGATTGTTGCTCTGTTTTTTTTTTATGTGGTTAAACCCGTGACATACTATATATAGATACAGTTTCGTTATCATTTAAGTTTTGGAGAGCGTTCATGGTGCGGTAGATAGTATTTGTGATTTTTGTGTGTTGGACGCAGAAAACTATCGACTAGACACCGAGTACGAGAATCATCTGATCTACAAAGTGGCACTGGTAATAAGAAGAACTCTCCATTTTCAACGAATAGAATATAAATGTTGTGCTAAACGTTGTACACATGTCCTCCTCTAATTAAACGCAATAAATAGTATTTATCATTTTTTACTTATGTTATCACATACAATATTTTGACGGTATGCCATGAATCGAATTAAAAAAACTTTGTCAATAGCTATTTATAATACACGAAATGACGTAATTTTAATTTGCTTGAATCGCTTAACTTCACAACTATTATTATTAATCGTTTTATGCAATTTATTTTTTAATCAAGAATTAATTCTGCATTGATCCTCGAAATAAAATGTAACATTATATTCAAAGAAGTGTAGCAGCTTTATAATATTCTGCGTGCTGTGGTATAATTACTAAACTATACTCACTTCTTTATTCACAAAAATTCATTGGATGTACAATGTTATTGTATAAATAAAGAAGTTTTCTTCTAAAAAAAAATCTTGTAGAAATATAATTTTTAATCTCAAGTTATTCTGTCATAATTATTTTTACACAATATATTTGAATTTTGAATAAACATAATAAATTCTATGTAAAATATAAATAAAATATACAATACTTAAAATAAAATAAACATTAGATTTCTAAACTACTTGTTCACTTATTATAAAATTCTTTATAATTAAAAATAAAAGTAATTTCTTTAATTCGGTCAATTTTATTCAATCACATTAATCTGCGATTCACACAAATGAGCTTACACAATTACTCTAAATTAATTGAAAACTAACGGCAATGTTTAAAGAAAATAATCGTATATTAGAGATGGACATTTTGAAAAATACAATATAGACTTCAAGCTTTTTATTTTAAAGCAGATGTGCCTGCTCTGGCTGTCTCTGTCGCTGCATGAACATTCTTTTCGCAAACGAACACTTTTTTGCTTACGCTTAATAATCTTATACATCACAGGCCTTCGTAATCGCGCTTTTGTGTACCTTTTGTACATATGGTGTATGTGTGCTAACGCCACTGCGATCTTCAGATAATCTGCAACAACTATCCTACATTTCAGTTTCAGTTTGTTAACTCCTTCCTATCGCTGTTTTACATCGCCTTCTATCTTCAAGATCAAGAGAGACTCAAGGAGGTGAGAATCTCTATCTCCCCCGCGATGTATTACAACCACATGAGAATATAAATTTCCGTTTCAGCAATTGGCGGCTCTGCTCATAGCTCGCCAGGTAATTGGAAATCTGAAGGAATCCGCGGTGCCGTATCTGGTCGAACAACTACGACTGGCGCGGCTAAGCTTCGAGCTGTTCGGGGCCCTGAGTCCCAGCGAGGCGAGGCCACCCCCCGGCCAGGAGGGCGAGGAGATACAAGGCGGTAAGGACAACGAGGAGAAGGACGAACGACCTGACAGCGGCAAATCGAAGCAACCGCGGAACGTCAGCCAGGCAGAACTGGAGAGTTCCCTCTACAGAGTAGGGCATCCCACTAATTCTCTACTTAGTGACGTTACGTTCAAGGTTTGGTCTAGATTTAGCCAATAGCTCTTTCGTTTTTCTGGGAGCACTATGCCGCACACGCATATACGCACGACTTTCGAAGCGCTCGCAATCGAAAACGCAATGTGTACAAAAATAAAGAAGACTATAGAGATGCGTCTCTCTATCGAGATTACGCTTGATAGGTGCTTCAGTTGTCTTGTCAAGGTCTCTCTCCTTGAACAGGTCTCGAGGGTGTCGTACGAGATTGCGAGTGAATCGAACGCGTCGTATCATAGATCGACCCATTTATCTCGCCTCTATGATCTTTCCGTCCTTTCTTTCCGCTCAGACTGCACTCTGCGCATTCTATCGCATGACAATTGAGCCGAACTATTAATAGTAATGTCAATGCCGTGTTGCGTTTGTTGGTCGTTTCTTTTTGCAGAATTTTAATGATTTTTTCCCGTTTCACACCCATTCCACCGACGACGCACAGGTATCCACCAGGAAGGTAATATCACACACTCATCCTATCATTAAAGACCAATCCTTTCTGTCATGAATAATTGCGATTTTTCTTAAAAATGCAAACTGCATAATTTTTACTAATTAAACTATTTTACATTTGATTGTTATAGCAATGTTATACATTTGATCAAAATATTAAATTTTATATAATTTTATATAAAATCCAAAAATTTTACGTTGTTTTGGCTTGTTAGAAAAAAGTTTATTCAGCTCTAAGTAACTCTTAGAGCCAACTCTTTAGATAGAATGTCGGAATATTTCCGACTATATTTTTCAAATATCACGTAAGTTTCAAATTATGCAGCGTGACCGAAAGGAATAAACAGAGTTCTCACGGCTTATCACGCAGAGCCCACCCTCATGTTTTCAATTTTCGTCTTGCCAAAATTTAATTTACTTTAAATGCACGTGGATCCACGACCAAGATAAGTTATTGAGTGTTTTAATTATTCAAAGATAAACACTGAATATATACACTTTATTAGCATCGTGTTAGACATTTTTATTAAGTCAATAATATTAAATAAACTTGCATTACTTATTTCATTGCCAAATATTGACAGGTTAGTTTAAAAGTTCTTCTACATATAATTATTTAACCCTTAAATGCCACCCGGGGTCCAGCGGACCCCAGACCCTTTACAATGATATATTTTCAAATGTTCCCCCCAAAAATGGACCTCATGCTCGGCATGCTCCCATTGATGATAGTTGAGTGATTGATCTACTCGGTTGTACACTTAGCAGTACTCAGTTTACTTAATTTTTTATACTATGTTGAAATTGAAATTTTAACAATATAAGCATTTTATTCTCTTTTCTAAGCCTTGAACAACATTGAAAATAATTTTCATAACTAAATATCAAAAAATCAATGAGTAAGGAGACATTTTTCATGCTGGGGTCTTTTAGACTCCATGTGTCATTTACGAGATTCTTGAGAGGTGTGGCATTTAAGGGTTAAATATATACAATAGAATTAGCAAATTGTGATTTTTTAAGCATTTAATAGCTATAAAGATATATAAATATGTAGAAAGTGTCTTTATACTTATACATTTTATATATGTATAAACCAGATAATAAAATAATTACGTTTCTATTTATAGCAGGGTAAAAAACGTGCTAAAAATATATGTATAAATTTATATAATGTAATATATAAGAATATATAAATGTATATATAAATTTATATATAGTTTAATAAGAATATCTTTAAGTAAGTTTTGTAATTTATAGACAATCTTTCAACAATCTTCTTGCAACAAAATTCTTGCAACAATCACGAAGATGTTTTGTGTGAGATCTTAATAAATAATTATCAATTTGCAGTATGACGGGGCGTTTTCAGAGCATCTGGAAATGTTATCGCAACTGGGATACGTCTGTCTTTTCTCTTCCGCATTTCCGTTGGCTGCGATGGCCGCTTTACTTGGGAATTTGCTCGAATTGCGCGGCGACGCGTTCAAACTGTGTTTCGTACTTCAACGACCTTTCGGGCGTAGGGTCTCGAATATCGGCACATGGCAGGTAAGTGAAGAACGATTTCCGAAAACTCATAATGTACGCGAGTGTGAATTTCAGAATAAATTTAGCCAACAAAATAATTAAAAAAAAATTTTAATAAATATTTATCACATCTGATTTTATAAATTAATTATTTATTTTTATGTTGTATTAATTATTCATCTACTTCTCTTTACAGAAAGCGCTCAAAATGAGCACTTTAGGTTCCAATAGAAACTCTTACAATATCATTAATCTCTATTAAAAAGTCGTTATTGCAGTTATCGCAACAGAAGTAAAATATTGAGTGAGAAATAATTATAATTTAAAAAATCAAAGTTAAATAGAATATATTCCTTCTTTTATTTTTGCGTGCTAAATCCATCTGCGAAGTTAAATTTAAAAAATACATTGCGCGTAGATTAAAAATATAGTTCAACCAATACAAGCTTAATTTTGCAACTTTGTTAGAACGCCATGGAGGCGATGGGCTTGGTCGCTATTTTGGTAAACTGCGCCCTAATCGGACTGAGCGGGCAGGTACAACGAATGTTTCCGGAGATGTCAGCAACGCAAACGATTTTACTAATCGTGGCACTGGAGCACATAATGTTCGCTATTCGATTTGTGATTATTTGCGCGATTCCCGATATACCTCATTGGGTCGCCACCGAGATGGCTAAAGTGGAATTCTTAAGACGTGAGGCGGTCCGAAGGCTATCCTCGACTCCGTCACCAGAACAACAACCAACGACAGTGATAGGTACATAATTCATCTTTACGTGATGCTCAACTCAATGTATACTATCTGCCTATCACCTAACATACTAATCGAAGCTATTCTATACGACTTCTTCGAGAAAATTAAAATATCTTTGTATCCCAATTTCATCTTCCCCGATCCAGTGGCCATTGACTACCTGTCCAGTATCCTGCGATAGTTCGCCAATGATCTCCGCGCACTTATCAGCAAGAAAGTGTTAATCGCTTTGCCTGTCGCATTGCATCCTTTCCTCCTACCTGCTATTAATTTCGCTCGAACTCAGGGAGATTCGTGGTGAGTCCAGCAGACGGAGAGAGCGAAGAGCAGCACTTGCTTTCCGACCGCACCGGCTACCCGACTATGTCCAGCCGTGCGGACACGCCGACCCTGGCCTCCACCGCCCATACGCCAAGCGGGCCGACAACGCCGAGCGCCGCGTCCGCGTCGGTGCCGAGGATCGCGGAAACACCACCCATGGCCGGGACCCCCAGCGGTGGAAGCAGCAGCGAGACCAGCCCGTTCCTACCCGAGGGCAATTCCAACGTCACCCGGGACATTCGTAACACGCCGAGATGTTCTATACCCGGAGGCGAACGAGGTTCGGTTTTCCAAACGCGCATGAAAGATTTTATATGAGAAAAGTTTATGTAACGCTCAAATCACTTTAATGTAATTAACATGTTGCTCTGCCACCGTGGTTATCTTATTAATTATTTTTTTTTAATATTTAAAACATAAAAACAATAAATGTCATCTAATACAAAATTTTGAATAATAAAAATAGTTAAATAACAATGTAAAGTAAAAAGTGTGCTAATCAAAATAATTAATATAATTTTTATTTTTAATCATTACGGAATATTTTACCATTATATACTTATGATGAGAATTCTGTTGTGTACGATAAAATATATGAAACTCGCTAAGCAGATGACATGTTAATATCTATCACAAAAATTCTGAATCGAGGATCACGCAAAAGACCTCATCAAGCGGATAAATATTCGCGTTGATGAGAAGTTTCTCAATAGGAAGACGCTCGAGGGAGTGGTTGATGAGCAACGAACCGGAGGCGTCTGGTACCAACGATCAGTTTGGCCATCATCTGACCATCGGACCACACGGCGGCGTCGATTGGGTACGTCGATTAGGTCTGGAGCCAGGTGCACGAAAATCGAGCGACTCCGAAATTACTGGTGCCGCTGCGGTAAGCGGACGGGAGGAGGAATTAACTTTGCATAGGTCAACCGATTGCATCGTTTCCAAAGAACTCGCATCCTCCTCAGATAGCGATCTCCTCAGGTACAAGGAATAAGATATACGCGGTTTTTCTGTGATAAAATATGCGCTCTGATTGCACATTTATCTGATCAAAAACCTTGAATATTTTCTTTGTTCTTAATATAAAGATATTTTTTATATACATTAATTTTTTTAATAGCTCGTTCTTGTTCCTTATATTTCGATGATAATATATTAGTATCCTACTTAAAGATCGGCACCGCCGTGGGCGGTGGCTCATAGGAACCAGAAGTTCCGCTTCTCGCCCGAAAAGGAAAAAGCGCGCGAGAAGACGGAGAAGCAGCAATACCACCAGCAACAGCAACAGCAACAGCAACAGCAACAGCAACAGCAACAGCAACAACAGCAACAGCAGCAGCAACAGCAGCAACAGCAGCAGCATCATCAGCGGGAAACGCACGAACATCGCGAACGGCAGTCCCATATCGCCGAAAAAGAGAAGGACTCGAGCGGGCTGTCGGACTCCAGTAAGACTATCTCGAGTCAGGAGGAGGAGAAACCGTCGAAGGAGGACCGGGAGGCGAAGAAGACGCGCGTGAAGCAAAGCCTAATGAAACGGGCGCGCTCGGTGGCGATCTTTTCGCTAAAGCTGAAGGAACGCCGCGCACGGGAGGCCGAGCTTAAGGCCAAGGAGGCGGAAAGGGAGGCCAGGTGGCAACAGCCGCAATCGTGCGTCGGCGGTGAGCTCTCGTGCATCCCCATAGAAAAGCTTATCTCCGTGGACGACATCGCGGCCATGGAAATGCGCCGGCCGAATCATTAGCCGCTTGACGACTTGTTTTTCTTAACACTTTTGTTTCCACGCTACCGTAGAGAGTCGTTCGCGTACCGCGACACGCGCGGGTTTGCGCAACCGACGGTGAGATCACGTTCTCCGCGTTAATTGAATCGCGACGAAGAGAGAGAAAGATCCCGACGGCCGCGTGCAGGTACCGCGTTACCGAACGAGAAAGAAAGGCGCACAATTAACGAATCATCGCAGAAAAAACACACAAGGATCCTATAGGTGATATTCCGTAGAAACTACTCCCGATACCGCTCTCTAAGCTCAGGGCATCGAACCGCGGTCTCCGGCTCGGTTCGGTTCCGGAAGTGACCACGCGTGACATATTTTCGATGGATCTATATGCAGGTATAATGGCAACGTCCCGCGATGAGGATTGAAAATCCTCAAACACGGATTCGCGCGGTTTTAGACGACATCGCGGATAATAACATGAAGTTGTAAAAATGACTATTGCTTCTTCGAAAAGATAAAAATAAAAATGTCGCTAATTTGTGGCGAAATAATTTCACGGAACGGGAGATTACAGAGTATTGAATTTAACAGACAGAAAAGCAAAAAGACGCAAATTTTACCGATTCCAAAAAAACTTATGCAATAATTTTAACGAAAAAGAAACTTATATCACTAATTTTAAATACCTGAAAGTGCATTGCTTTATATATGTTAATTTTAAGAACTTCTTGAACTCCAATTTTTGCGGAGATTTTTATTGTAAATAATTATAAATAGATTATCCTCTCGAAACACACGTGCATATTGACGGCTGAAATTAATCCATGGAAATTAATCGTGTAAAATTCTTGTATTATAAATTTTTCTCCGAAATGCTTCAACGCGCAGTTCCGAAACCGAACGTATCCATTTCGATAATTCTAATTTTACTTCGATTCGATGCTCTGCTAAATAGCACATTTTCTTAGCTTAGATCGCTCGACACCGTAGATCGATCGTTGAGCTTCCAATTGTTCCGTTCGTGCCGTAAGTATTCTACGCCGAAATTAGATTATCCTCGACTGTGCTCCATAACGCGCGTGTAATGGAATCCCGATGGTGCAGTCGCACGCAACGATCCGATCCCGTCGCGGTGAAATAAGTTATACCGGAAACCGGCTGGAATAGTCACGAAGGTCCTCTCGGACAAGATTTGTAAAGTATATCCGGTTACACTCTCGCTGAACAGCGAGCCGCCGAGTATAGGCGTGAAACTCAACGAAAAAACTTGGAGGAGGGAACTTTGTTGTTGTTGCGGTAATAAATTGTTAATTAATCTATAAAACTTTAGGCATTAATGGATTAAACGAACTTTTTGCTAAATAGATCTCTACGAAGGCATATCATATTGTCGAGACCATCCGCGTCGTCACCGTCGCCTCTCAAAGTTTCACGTCTTCGTCCCTAAGATCGGACGCACACGCGTGGGATGCAAGATGAGTTCGCGGCCACGTGAAACTCACCGGCGATGAGATTAGAGTCAAAGACAGAGCGTATGGTGCACGCAAAGCTCTTCGTCCAGACACGAGTTACAGGATCTAGTGATCGTTTTTGTATATAGCGAAAAATGTTATGCAGAAATTGTAAAATCGATTTCCATGGCCTAGCCTCATGTCCCCGTCCGCGGCTGAACTTTAGCGCAGAGTTGTTGAGTATTACACACAAGTACACGCTCATATACATACACATACATACAAAAGAAACACAGATACATGACATTTTATTACATTTACCAATATTGCTAGCTTAGTATTAATTAACCATTATATGCATCCACATTAAGCACTGTTGAGCAAACCGATAATCGCGTTGTACGTAGCGTACTCTTCGCCACTCTTCGGAAACATTGCGAGACACAAGTGCATTAGATGCAAAAATTGATAGATTAGCCGCTTTTCGTAAAGGCAGGTCGGAATAAATTCAGCCGGAAGCATCTGTGTTTGTTAGATGTTTTGTATAAAACACGAGAATTGAGCCAATAAAAATATTCTACAAAATACTAATTGCGTTCTTCTTCCCTTCGTTCCCGAAAATAATACACAAATAACTTTAAAATTTTAGTTATTTAAGTCATAAAATAATAAAAATTAGCTTTCCAAAACTTGCAGATATTTAAAAAAGTTTCGATAATATTTATCAAATATTTCCTAGTTATATTTAATTTTAGATTCTTGATTGAATCATCGAAATGCAAAAGATCACGAGATGACAATAGATGATAAGATGATCATTGATAGAACGATTGAGATTTTTTATTTGTAAATGATTTTTTCTTACAGCAACCTGCGACTAAATTATCAGCATAAAAAATTACTTTTTTTAAAAAGTTTAAAAAGTGCTAAGTGTCCGCGCCCGTCAAGATAGTTGTTATGTGAAACAATGTGGTTTCAATCTATTTTTGTTATAAAAGTAGTAATAATTGCGTCAACCGAGCATGAGTTACATATCATAAAATGTGTATAAACCAAGTTGCTTTCTTTTTTTATTTATTTCAGCAACTTTAACAAAAACTAATTATTTCAATAATTTTTTCTAATATATATAAAACTAATTATTTTTATTAAGATCCAACTCTAATACAAGTATTTTCTTCTAATTTCTATTATCTATAAGGAAAAAACTTTACTTTGATATTTTTTTAAAAAAAATTTTAGTTTTTTTTAGTATATTTGAAACAAATAATAATTTAATAACATTAATACATTCAGGTTCTCCTTTTGATTCTATTAATGTCATTTTTATTGTTAAATGAACTATTAAACTATTTCGCATTCTCTCTTTATACGTGTACCAGTGCGAGTGTAACCTCAAGCACATTA